ACTCGCTCCGCTTCGCCATCCTTTGACAAATCTGCCGGTATTTCCAAAGCCTAGTAAATACCAAATATAAAAATATACAATATAAAAAATCAAAAATTTATATTTTATAAAACAACAATTAAATATATTTACTTTTAATTTTTGAGGCGACAATTCTTGACACTCTTTGGCCACCCGTTTGACGCCATCCTCACGCCTACCGGTGATGACAACACTCGCGCCCAGAGCTGAGTATAGTTTAGCGATCCCTTCGCCGATACCACCACTACTTCCGGTCACTAAAACTACTTTTCCCGTAAAGTCTCTCGAGTTCTTCACCTCAGAGTAAATCTCTTTTCCAGACATTATATGAATTATATCTTTAAGAAAGTAATATTTGCTGAAATTTTTAAAATGTTTTTTCTCTAAAATTCTATTCGTTTATTAGTTTATATATCAAATTGTTTGTCATAAGAGAACATGTACTGTATATACATGTAAAGTACATTTCGCTTAGCTGTTATCAAATCATAATCTAATGCTGTATAAAAAGCGCATATTTAGTACAAATCATACCATCGAGTACAATTAATTATTAATAAATCTTAAGTGCAATGTGTGTTATTAAATTTACATTTCGCTTAGCTGTTATCAAATCATAATCTAATGCTGTATAAAAAGCGCATATTTAGTACAAATCATACCATCGAGTACAATTAATTATTAATAAATCTTAAGTGCAATGTGTGTTATTAAATACTAAATGGATTTTCAGTGCAATTAAATTCTATGCTAGAAAGTATTTGTTGCTATTTAATTGGGAAAATTTATAATTTTATAATAACTAGTTCATTTATTTGAAACTCTTAATGATATTTATTTTTAAGTAATGTGTACAGTAATATGTAATTATTTAGCAACTTATTTTGTTATAAAGTCAAGTAAGGCGTTGTTCACATATAACGTTCGCACTTTTCAGAAATTCAGACCATTTCCCATTTTGTTTGCAATTGTTCGCATGTAGTCATTTTCAAAATTTTTAAAAACAAGAATAATTTTTGTTTTCGTACTCTATAAGCAAATTCTTATCAGTGAGACCCATATACTGTATATTTTTCAAAATAATAAAACAACTAAAATAAAACATTTTGAGACATCTTATATATAAAGATTACTAATTATTTTAGAAATAAAATACTATATGTGATTTTATATTAAAATTTGAGCAACAAATATTGTATATTAAAGAATATTAAATAAATACAGCTAATACACGGATAAATACAAATAATGTACTAGTTCTTAAATTATAAACAATTTATTTCAAGTTTTACAACCACAAACAAAGTCAAAGTACAATGTTACTATTGAATAAATTCATAATGCCCAAAAATCGGAGCCAATGTTATATTTAATGCCGCCGTCGATGACTAAACTGTGACCCGTTATGAACGAGGCGTCCGATGAGGACAGGAATACCACCCCTTTGGCGACATCGGCTGTTGTGCCCACTCTTCCCAGTGGTGTATATTTGGCGGCGTTTTCAAAAGCTCTAATAACATCGGGGTCGG